AGCTGGAAATGTTACGGACCGAAAAAAAATATAGTGTAAACGAATAAAAAAGGAAAGTTCTCTTTCCTATCTCATTACAAGAAATTTGAAATGTCTTGAGAACACTGCGGGAAAGGCTGTTAAAGAGGCAATAGAATTACGAGAAAAGGATCTACCTAAAGGATTAAGTTACGAAAGAATGATAAAATGGTTAAAATAACAAAAATCTGATATTGAGAAACAAGTAATAGTGTTGGATGTACAATCTCCAGGGCAAATGATTTGGAGGTAGAGTGAAAAGAACTGTTACGTTCAGCAAATGATGATGAATGGGAGAATAACGTTGCGTTTTACGAAGATTACTTGTACGAGGAAGAAGGACTATTTGACAAAGAAACTAAGATTTATTGTGAAAGAGCTTCACTTCTTACGAAACTAAATCGAATAAGTGAAGCAATCATAGAAGTTATAATGAAGTATGGAAAAATAGATCGTGAACCAGCAGGAATAGTAAGGCAGAAGAAGGATCTAGATTTAATTGAGAAGATAAAGAGTGGCATTGAGAAGAGTGGCATCAGACGTTCGACAGTTTGTTCAACAGCGAAGGAGAGAATATATCCCAGCAGAGTGTCACAAAAGAAAGAGGGAAGTCGATTACCGTTATTTATTGTGAAGGTAACCATTGGAAAGAGAGATGTGACACATACCCTACTGTTGACGAAAGGATGGAAAGATTAAAGAAATTGGGACTTTGTGAATTATGCTTAAAAAACGACCACTCACAAGAAAATGCATGAGAAGAATAAAATGTTTTTATTGCGGATCTGGCCACAATAGCGCTTTGTGTGGGAAACGTAACGAAATGAAGAAGCAAAGCAAGAATTTCAAAAATAATGAGGAAACAAACATAAGCCCAAAAACAGTGGCGGCCACGGTTGCGGATGATAGCATTTGGGATACGTATAAGATGGTAAAGAAGTAAGGCTAATCAATCCAGATGAACCAAGAAAAACATCAAAGGCCTTCATTTTTTTCGATACAGGAAGTGATTGTAATTATGTTACAGAATCAATGGCAAGCAAATTGAATTTAAAACAAACACCACCGAGTGTGGGATTGTTAGTAACAGGAATGGTGGGCACAAGGAAATATGAAAGCCGAAAGATAACCTTCAGAGTTCAAACGCTGTCTGGGAATGTGAATAATTAAGCGTACATTGTTGATTTAATACTCGAACGGATACCGTGTGTAACAAACAGTAAAAGAAACAAGCTAGTTGAAGGTAAGTGGGGAAAACCGGATGTATTACTAGGCGTAGAAAGGACTGCAGATTTAGTCATTTGTAATTTCTAAAGCGCCCACCAGGATGGATGATTATGGAAACAGAAATAGGAGTGGCCGAAGGCGGCAAACGGAAACTGGGGCAAGATAGTGATACAGGAAACAGAAATAACGAGTCTTATAAATTTCAAACATTTGCGAACATAACAAAGGAATCGCAAATCTACATGGCCCAGATTGAACAGATGTGGAAATTAGAAGCATTTGGGGTTAGGAATTAATGACGGATTATTAAGGATGAAAAAGCCCTTGAAGCTTTTCAAAAATCGCTCACCGTGGACAAAGAAGGGAGATGTGTAGTGAGCTGGCCATGGAAGAACCAAGAGATAGCGCCAGCAAAAGGATATGGACTAGCATGGCGACGTCTACGAACTACAATACGAAGACTGAAGAAGTCTCCAGAATTATTGGAATGTTACGATGAGTATATTAAAATCTTATTTGAGGAAGGAATCATAGAAAGAATAAAGAATCAGAACGAAACATGGCGAGTATCTTACCTGCCTCACCAAGCAGTAACACCTCAGAAATCCACCACGAAGTTTAGGGAAGTATTCGACGCATCAGCAAAGACGAAGACCCATCATTAAATGAATGTTTGCATAGAGGGCCAGTAATGATGCCATCATTAATCGGAATTCTATTACGGGCCAGACAAGGACGTTACTTGGTGATAACCGATGTAGAAAAAGCATTTTTGCAAGTGAGCCTAAGACGGGAAGACAGAGATATTATCAGGTTTTTATGGCTGAAAGATAAGACGAAGGAAGTAAGTCACGAAAACCTAGCTACTTACCGATTCATGCGAGTTCCCTTCGGCGTGGTATCATCACCTTTTCTGCTGACCGTTGTCATTAGACATTTACTGAATGAAGAAAGCTCTAAATTATCAACAGAAGTAGCAAAGAATCTCTATGCTGATAATGTATTAACCGCAGAAAGTGAGTTAGAAAGTAACAGAAAGGCGCAGGAAGCAAAAGATCTCTTTAAGAAAGCCAAGATGCACTTGAGAGAATTCCATACGAATTATGACATTGAGGTGAACCGTGAGCGAGAAATAACAAAGACCACTACCGAACTGTTAGGAATCGAACGGAATAATATCAAAAACGAGTTCATTTGGAGGTGGAAAATCCCGGAGAAGGCCGTCAGAACAACCGCTAGGTATTGCAATTTTATGCTGCTATTTACGATCCATTGGGATTATTATGTCCGATTATACTCCCATGGAAACTGTTGGTTCAAGACTTATGGAAGAAGGGTGCGTCCTGGGATGAGAAATTAGAACCTGAAGAATGAGACGTTGCTTAGAGTTAGAAGAGGCATTTAACCAACAGGATGTCATAAAAGTATCTCGATGGACGCCGCAAGAGTGCTCCGAAATACATGTGTTTGTAGGCGTATCCTAAAGAGCTGTGGGATTAGGAGTATACGTACGCAGAAGTAATATCCATCCAAACCACAACTAATACACGGAAAGACAAGATTAGTTCCAAAACAAGAAAGTAGGAATCAGTCAGCCAGTATTCCTCGACTAGAGTTTACTCCCTGTCACAATTGGAGTAAGAGTACTGGGATTCATTAAACAAGAAATCGAAGTAGAAAAAACGTATTTATGGACGGATAGCACTTGTGTCCTGCACTGGTTAAGAAAACCGCCGGTAGGATGCCGATATGTCCCAAACAGAATTGATAGGAAATTGAATTCCGTCATGTAAGATCAGCAAGCAATCCAGCAGACCAGGTTTCACGAGGACTTCTCCCAGGTAAACTGAAAGACAATTCGTTGTGGTGGAGTGGACCGTCATGGTTATGGGAGCTGAAGGAAAAATGGCCCGAGGATAAAGTTAAAGAAAACGTCACGACTGTATGCATGATCATGAGATTGATGGAAGTAGCGATACAGTCAGATCAAGTTACGGCATTAATAGATGAGACACGATTCTCACCACTGTTTAAGCTGATAAAAACGATGTTATACGTCTTATGATTTCTCATGAAGATATCAAAGGAGAAGACAAGAAGTTTGGAAGGATTCTCCAGAGAGAATTTTGCATCTAATGAGTATGACAAGGTAATACAATTGATAGATGACACAGTTAAACATAATGCAAAAGGCAATCGAACACCGGGGCTTAAGAAAAGACCAGAATGGAATCTGGAGATGTATTGAAAGACTTGGGCTGTGCCTCAAACTGAGGATTTTCCGTATTTCATCAATGGAGGAAAAATAACAGAACTGATCGTGAAGCATTACCATGAGAAATTATTTCATGCGAGCGTGCACCACATTTGGAACAAAATGAGATAGCGGTACTGGATCCCGCATGGGCGGTCATATATAAAGAAAATTTTGAGAAAGATTTGTAAAGGTTGGACTATGTGGGTGGCTACGCCATTTGAGCAACCAGCAATCAGAGAAACCAGACTTTCCTCCTTATCCTGCTGCTAGAGTTGTAGGAACGAAACCGCTTGAAACGGTTTAGACCTGTTTGGGCCAGATCTAATAAAGGAGGATCATGCCAATGCTAAACGATGGGTGGCTCTGTTTACATGTTTAACCACTCGAGCTGTGCATCTCGAAGTAATGGAAACTATGTCTGCTGAACAATTTGTGCAGGCATTCCGGAGATTTATAAGTCGAGGGAAACAACCACAATACCTAACTTTCGACAATGCCAAGAACCTTATAACAGCTTCCAAGGTACTTGTAGAATCAGGTACAGCGGAAAATGAAACGATGGACTGGGAATTCATTACTCCGGGCGCTCCTTGGCAGGGCGGCGTTTACGAAAGAATGGTTGGAGTAGTTAAAGGATCTCTAAGAAAAGCCATCGGTACAAAGCCTCTTAACAACAGAGATTTGATAACTTTAGTCATCGAACTTGATGAGATCATCAATGAAAGACCCTTGGTGGATCTGGAATAGGTTTAGTGTTAAAACCTGGGGATTCCTTGAATCCAGGCTCAGCTCGAGAAAATTTGACAGAAAGGCTTACCGTAGGGACAAGATGAAAATATGTGGGGAAGAAAATTTATAAAGAATTGAAACATCAACACATGGCCACATGTAAGAGACTTGATCATCTATGGTAAATATGGCGAGAATATCTAGAAGAAAACGAATTCAACGCAAACACCAAGGGCCTCGCAGTCAAATTCGATGAGAACCCGAAATTGATGAGCTGGTGCTGTTGAAAGAGACTGTCCCGGAAATACCTGGAGAATGGGAAGAATCGACAGACTCATAAAGGGCAAAGATATATGTCGATCAGCGGTTGTAAGAATAGCTAACGGAAAAGAGCTTGTGAGAACAGTAGAACACCTCTATCCTTTGGAGGTTTCCAACCAAGGATAAGGTGCAGACCACGTTTGCCTCGGGATTGTCACTGATATTCCGGGTAGAAACAAAGAGACAATAATTCCCCTTTTTGAAAGCCAAACATCTTTATTTTATATGCCCATATCCGTCTTAAATTGCGCTAACAAAGAAATCAATACCAATGGGTGCTCCACAAGGATGCTAATTCTTGTAACCATAAAACGGTACAAGGACCCTCCCAGTCGAAGCGGAGGGTTCTGAGCACTAATCCATTTTTTAAAAATGTGTTTCATTGTGTTTTAATGTGTTTCATTACTCGCCGTCGATATCTTATATCCAACCGATATAAGATATCGACGTGATTTGTCTTTGTTGTTCTTGTGTATTCGTTATTAATTTGTTGTATCGATGTCATAGTTGCAAGTTCGTTGTTGTATCAATAAATTTATCGTAATAAAGATTTGCTTACCCATGTTTGGGGTACTACACACTAAAGAAGGAGAAACAACCCTCAGTTTTTGTCGCGGTTCAAGAAAATCGGCAACACAAGGGATTTCAGATAACCAAAAATCAAATTATTTGGTGTCCTGTTTAAAGGGAAGTGCTTTACAAGCGGTAGGAAGCTACGAAAGAGCGGCGAAAAGTGATGAAGTCGTAGGGGGAGTGTTAATAGGAAAATTTGGGGAGTTGTCTACGAGGAAAAAGTCGCTCTACTATGAGTTGAGTTCTATACAACGAAGTAGCCGGGAATAGAAGTTAATAGTCAAGGCAATTGGGAGAGTGCTTAGGTAGATAGAACTGTTGAGAAACTGAGAAATTTTATAATACAATTTTATAATACATGAATATATCGACTTTTGAATCTTTAAAGGTCAATTTTGCTGTTTATGCCTTGTGATACTGTAAGGGTCAGGCATACCGTTGTATATTACTGTAACAATCCCGTACGCTTTAATTTTGCATGCCAGCCTCCGCGTACATATCGCTGCTTATTACTTAAATGATCTTATGTCCTTATTTAAAAGTTATGAAGATCACAGTTCCAATATATAAGTCCAACAACGGGAGGTGTCGTGAAAACAAAACCTCAAATAAATTCATCCACATTGTAAATTAATGCTAATGATACTATGAATCACTCTTAACACATTTACATTCCTTAAAACTGTTTCCCACACTCTTTTGTTGTTATCTTATCTAACCAATTTGCATTTTTATGTTTAAACCCTTAATTTCCCATGTCAATCATTCTGTTTAATCTTGTTATAATGCTTATACCATATCCGGTGTGTTTCCGATACTTGAATTCTTCATGTAAACCACTCCCATTTCTTAACAGATATAACCTGGGTCCAAAATCCGGGCGAAAAGGCTTGGAGCTGCTCCCCTCTTCGAAGGTTAGCGGCTTCTTCTTCTGTTTATTCTTC